TACGATGATATTAAATAGCAAATAAGAAAACACCACGACTAATTGACAGAGAGGCTAGGAAAGAGGGAAAAGTTTTATATTTTAGTTGCTGTAAGGACACTTTTTCCTTCTTTTTTGAACAAGGGGCCCTATATTTCTCTTCTGCACAGGGTCCTGTAGTGATGTAGCTCTCCCTGCACTCAGGGGTTATTTGATCAAATATTTTTGCAGTGTGTCACCTGAACAGCCACCTGACTTATCTGGGCTGAGAAGCCAGCAGAGCTGCCTCGGCGCTTAACCATTGTCTGATTGTGAAACCCTTCCAGGCACTGGACGTCCAGAGACAAATAGATCAACAGGGGCTGCAAGGCCTTGCTCTTCTAGGAATTTACGGTTTGGCGAGGGGAGCACAGAGCAGGTGCCCTATTTTGTCTTGGCTGCTGTGTGTCCCAGAACCGAGTACGTCGCTTGGTACGTCGTGGGTGCTCCATAAATGCTTGATGAATGAACTCATGAACACGAAAGCATCTGACTACTATGGCAATGGGAGGGTTGTTGTTAATGGGGGCGGGGGTCAGCATGGGCGCTAGAGAGAACGCAGCTTTCCAAGGACAGTCAGAGCAGCCAACACAGACTCTGCTCTGTCCTCATGAGTTTGGATTGATTTTTCTTCCATGCATTTTTCAGGGCTGTTGTACGGTGTCCTGCTTCTGTGTCTGTCCAGATGAGGTTTTATCTTGGGATGAAGGGTAGACGGGTTCCAGAAAGCCAAGTTCATGAATTTAAAGGGTTTTCTTCATTCTGAGATGGTGTTCTTCCTTCTTGTGGGGAGACAGTGGCAGGGTACCACTGATGGTAACGGTGACGGCTTATAGGATTTCTCTGTGTGGCCGTCAGCGTTCTAAATACATTGAGTCTTCAGGAAACCTATGAGTAGATACTGTTCTAGAAGGAGAAACCGAGTGCAGAGAGGTAAACAGCTTGGGCCTGTGTCGTGGCATCTCAAGAATGGGCAGAGTGGGGGCGCCTGGGTGGCTCAGTCGTTAAGCGTCTGCCTTCGGCTCAGGTCATGATCCCGGGGTCCTGGGATTGAGCCCCGTGCCAGGCTCCCTGCTCAGCGGGAAGCCTGCTTCTCCCTCTCCCACTCCCCCTGCTTGTGTTCCCTCTCT